TACTGCAAGAATCCGCCTTAGCTGGAGTGTGTCCGTGCAGCATGGCCGAGCTCTGTTGGTTTAGTCACATTTAAAACGCGCTTTCTGAGCTGTTTGATGTGCGACATGAAACAATCCAGCAAATAAATTGCACCAGCAGCTTTGCCTTCTGCAGGTGTGAAACTGACTAGCAAAGGCTTTCTGATCTGTTCAGAATTCAGGAAAAGTTCCTAGTTTATTTTTTATTTAAAACTGTTTCAGGCCACAAGGGAAACAAATAAATAAAAACAGACTGAGACTGGTAGATTATGAGTGAGTTGCTAGGACAGCCAGACCTAATGAGAGACTCTTTAGTTGAGCTGGGAGTACTGAGACGAAAGCCCTGAGGGCTGCAGAGAGTCAACAAGCTCAGCATCTAGTCTGCACTTTAAAAGATTCAGGGCAAATGCACTAACCACGGGACCTGGTGTCATCTAACCTCCTGAAAGTTAACAGCTATAATATAATGCTGTTGGTGCAAATTATAATGCTGCAAATGTATAACATGATTCTTATTTTTCTAATTTAAACAAAAGTTAAAGTGGAGTTTGTGTATATAATTGAACATAAAACAGACAGACTGAACTTTATATAAAAGCTTTCTATAAGACATTTTTTAATCCCTAAAGACCTAAAAGGTCTCATAAAAATGCTGAAACTCATGTCAGCCTGAAACAACCGTGTCAAAGGGGTGTAACCATGTCCATTTTGTTAAAGGACAGAAACTGGACTGAAGTGTAATTACTCTCAGGCCTTATGGGCCATTCCCATCTGTACCTGGTCGGCCCTGCCCGGATAGCTCCAGTCGGCCCCAGCCTGGCCCGGTTGATTCCACACATCCTTGCTTAGGTATGCAAGGAATGCAGTCAGACATTTTCAGCTTCTAGGTAATCAGCATGATAATGAATGATAATGAATTGAGCATGCCTTAAGCCCATGTGGGCTGATTCGACCCACCAATCAGAGGCTTGCTGTAATGGAAGGTGTGAATTTGCTGTCAGCAGTGGGTGTGTTGGCCCTGGTCAGCCTGAAGCAGACCACCTGAAAAACAATGAGTACGTTTACATGCAGCCAATATCCGGGTTATGATCGGGTTAAGGTCGGTATTCGGGTTTCTGAGTTGATCAGAATAACCCGTTTACAAGCACAAATAGAAAGAGTTACCCCTAACTTGCATAACCCGATGTAAATGCCGACGTTGGGGTAGCGTCAGGACGTGTGGACTACGTCCAGACGCAATATGCGTCATTTCCGGTTCTTCTCGTTCCGGTATCCGTGAAAACAACAACATTTTTCCCAGTTCGGAAGAGATAGCAACCGCGTTTGTTTGCGCTTTAGTTTCCTCGTCACTCGTGGTGCTGTGCCGCGACTCGCCATGTTGCTCTCAACTTGTTGTTTACTTCCGGTGTTCTGGTGCATACAAGACGTCTCGCTACTCAAAAGAGCAAGATTCTTTGCGAACAGAGCATGTGCAGAACACACGCTTTGATGGGGATATCCCGGTATGCGTTTACACGACCAAACATTCGGGTTAGAAAAGGGTTACCCCAGGTGTAGTAACCGGGTTTTTAAAAACCCGGTTATGAGCATATCCGGGTTTCTGGCGGTGTTTACACGGACCTGCGGAACCGGGTTATTGTGAATATTCGGGTTTTAAAAGGGTTACTGGCTGCATGTAAACACACTGAGTCTTGTTGCACCCTGAAAAAAGGCAGACCACCAAGATATGTAAGCAAGCTATGCTTTCCGGGCCGGGCCGACCAAGTACAGATGGGAATGGCCCAAATGTGAAAGTCAAAATGTCAAATCAGAGTGAAACCTCACTGCTGTCTTCTCTCTGAACAGAGGGAGATGCTTTCACATGCACCTAAGACCACCTCTGAAAGGGTTTTCTCAGGCTGAATGTTAGATTTGACAGAGCGTTATGTAACCTTTAGGTTACTGAGTTTTTATAACAGTGGTTGCTGAGTTTGTGGAAGCTGGCTCCTCTAACAAGTGTCCTTTTTCTATTTTTCCTGTAGCAAATGATGATGTCCACTCCCCAGAAGAAAGAGGAGTGACCACTCATCCTCCTCTTGTCACTTCATCTAAAGGCCAGCGAGGCTGAAGAGAGGCGTCCCTTCAGTCGCCTCACCTCATCACCATTTCTTCCCTTAGTTGGTCTCCAAAGTGTTTCAAAACTGTTTCTCCAACGCTTTTTCCAAAAACTCAGACTGTTTTCTAAAGCAGAAGCAGCACAGCCCTCCCAGACTGAGGTGATGGGAAGTGTGCGAGCCAGCCGCTATAGCACCGTGTCATCAGAGGAGGACAGCATGAAGCTTGCCACTGCGGCTGTACCCAACGGCAAGGGCAAAGTGCGCACGAGGCACCAGCCGCAGAGTAGATTCGTGAAGAAAGATGGCCACTGCAACGTGCAGTTCATCAATGTGAGTGAAAAAGGGCAACGCTACTTGGCTGACATCTTCACAACATGTGTGGACATCCGCTGGAGGTGGATGTTCATCATCTTCTGCCTGGCCTTCCTTCTCTCGTGGCTGTTCTTCGGCTGCGTCTTCTGGCTGGTGGCCATTTTTCATGGAGATTTGGAAGGCAACACAGAGAAGTGCGTCTCCAATGTCAGCAGCTTCACTGCCGCCTTCCTGTTCTCCATTGAGACACAAACGACTATTGGTTACGGCAACAGATACGTGACAGATGAGTGTCCTGTGGCTGTCTTTGCGGTTGTTTTACAAAGCATTGTGGGATGCATCATCGATGCCTTTATCATTGGTGCAGTGATGGCCAAAATGGCAAAGCCAAAGAAAAGAAACGAGACCCTGGTGTTTAGCCACAATGCCACAGTGGCTATGAGGGACAACAAGCTGTGCCTGATGTGGCGAGTGGGAAACTTACGGAAAAGCCATCTGGTTGAGGCGCACGTTCGAGCACAACTCCTCAAATCTAGACGGACAGCAGAGGGGGAGTACATCCCCCTTGACCAAACGGACATAGATGTGGGCTTTGACAGTGGAGTGGACCGCATCTTCCTGGTCACTCCAATCACCATTGTCCACGAGATTAATGAGCAGAGCCCGTTCTATGACATGAACAAACAGGACCTGGAGAATGCAGACTTGGAAATAGTGGTAATCCTGGAGGGGATGGTTGAAGCTACAGCGATGACCACACAGTGCCGCAGCTCCTACATCGCAAGCGAGATCCTCTGGGGTCACCGCTTTGAGCCGGTGCTCTTTGAAGAGGAGAAGTTCTATAAAGTGGACTACTCCCGCTTCCACAAGATGATCGAGGTACCGAGCACACCCCTGTGCAGTGCCAGAGATCTTGCAGAGAAAAAATACCCTCTCTCTAACTCCAGCTCCTTCTGCTATGAAAACGAGGTGGTGCAAGAGAAAAAAGAGGACACAGATGAGGGTAACGGGGGCAGCGTTGGTCCCGACGGCACCCAGACAGACAACATCTCAGAGACTGAACACAACCAAGCCACAGTGCCACTAGAGTCCCGGCCTCTGAGACGAGAATCAGAAATATGACAGCTCAGACCTCAAAGGATTTCCAGAAAAATCACCTCTGCTCTGAAAGGCACAAGGAGCCGAGCTGGGCCTTGAGGAGAAGCCAAACGGTACTGCTGTGAGAAGCCAGAAAGGTTTATGACATTGTATGTAAAAGTCTGTCTTAACGTTAGCTGCACACAGTATGACAAACCACAGCTCAGTGCAGAATGAATCCTCCATGAACTCCCCACGAGCGTGCTCTTGGTGTCTGCAAAGAGGAAAGAGGTTGTTGCAACCACTTCTAAACTGAAGAAACAGACTCGTGGCTCTGTCCAGCATGAACAAAATGCTTCCAGAGTTTTCTGTAGAGTTTTAGTGCTGCTAGAGAACAGATAAGTTAAACACTTTAACTGCTTTCATTCTGATGATTTTATATTGAACCAAAAAGAAAGTCTGGAACAAAGAAGGTACAAAATAGAGTATCTGTTCCTGAGCTGGTCTCAGAGCAAGTAGACATCACTGATTACAGTTTTTGTATGCAATAAAGCAAAGACACCCTTGCAGAATGTTCCTTTGACATAACCGCACTGATTCTCTGAGCTTTACACAAACTGGTCTAGACGACTGCTCAAGGCTGCTCAGACGGACTGAAAGGTGCTGAGCAGGGCAGTATTACCATCGCACTATAATATGTGTAATGTGGGGATCTGAATGTCCTAAAAGTGCTGCTATGAAACTGCTTCTGTTGTTTTTTCTTCTTTGTAGCTGATGACATGCCAAAGAGTATTATTATCATAGTTATATGTTCTTACAAACATCTAATCAGATTTGGTACAGACAAGTAGCTCTTGTGGGGAGTTTTAATACAGTTTGTTTTACCAAGAATGTGTGTACAGCTTTATTTTTTTACAATGACCATCCTCAACTTGAGCCACTTCATCAAGCCTTAATCTGAGCAGTCTAACACAGAGAAATGGAAAAGGACTTTTGCAGAATTAGCTGAGCTAAAACAATTTTTGTTTTTTTTTAAGTCATCCGTTTCAATCGGCTCAGTTTTTGACAAAAGATAAACCTGCTTCAAAGGTTTTAAGAGGTGTGATGTGACGGAAATCTGCTGCACTGATGAGGATTGTCTCATAAAATCAGTGTCAACGTTTCATTTAGCAAACTGCAGATCAGCCGACTTTGATATCAATGTGAGATCTGATAGAGCTCAAACCAAATGTACTGTAACTTCAGTGCATGGAGGTGTACTGTACAAAGTAGAAAAACATTTGTAACCTGACTTTTGTTAAAACCAGACAGAAAGCCACTCGGCTGCATAAATCTACATGTGTAAATACTTTCCTCCCTGTTGTTTCGTTAGTAGTCTTCCAAATGTACTGCAAAACCACAGAATGTACAGATTTTGTATAAATATTATTATTATTATTATTATTATATGGTATTATTTTTGCTCTTTTTCAATAAAATGTCAGTGGACAAACAGAAGCACTCTGTGATTTGTGTCATACATTATTTCTAGTCACTACAGATTTTATAACTATTTTTACAGTAAATTTAGTTTAAATTTGAAATTTGTTTTTCATTGAACCTTTGCCACTCTTCTGCCCTAACACATGTTAGCCAGTTACTGAACTTTATTTAAAGTATTTAGCTGAATCAGACTATTCATGAATGATTTCAGATAAATAAGATTTTGTCCTGTCGTGCATCTTTGCAGATTAGATGAATCACTTGCATTTCCTGCATTCCCCCTACCTCCCCATATGATCCTCCCAAACCAACACAGTTATTTTCCAGTTTACAACTTCCCAGTGATTCTGAGATATCAGATATTATCCACAAGTCAAAGTCTTCTACCTGCCTTCTCGATCCCCTTCCCACGGCCTTGGTTAAATCCTGCCCCCCCTCCCTGCTCCCTCTCGTCTCCGCTCTCATACAAGCATCCCTTTCCTCCGGTATTGTTCCCTCTATCTTCAAAACTGCTGCAGTTACTCCAATTCTTAAAAAACCTGGTTCAGATCCAAACATTTTTACAAACCTCTGCCTCATCTCCAACCTACCCTTTATCTCCAAAGTTTTAGAAAAAATAGTCGCTACCCAGCTCCACACCCATCTGACACTAAACTCCTTCTATGAACCCTTCCAGTCCGGTTTCCGCCCACTTCACAGCACAGAAACAGCCCTCCTCAAAATAACTAATGGTCTCCTCATTGCTGCTGATTCCGGTCTACTATCCATCCTGGTCCTCCTTGATCTGAGTGCGGCCTTTGACACAATATCTCATTCCATTCTCCTCCATAGGTTATCTTCCATCAGCATTGCTAACATCCCACTTCGGTGGTTTCAGTCCTACCTATCAGGTTGCACTCAGTTCATTACTATCAAATCCTCCCGCTCACAGTCCTCTTCTGTCTCTTCTGGCGTGCCACAGGGCTCTGTCCTGGGGCCGCTCCTTTTCATTATATACATCCTTCCCCTTGGCAATATTTTCTGCAGATTCAATATTAATTTTCACTGCTTCACGGATGACACCCAGCTCTATTTGTCCAGTAAGCCAAATTCTGCACTTCCTCCCTCCTCCCTCATCACCTGCCTTCAAGAAATAAAATCCTGGTTCAGTTTGAACTTCCTGAAATTAAGTACAGACAAAACAGAACTTCTTTTGGTTGGTTCCAAGAACACCCTCTCAAAATTTGACAGTTTCTCTCTCACTGTTGATAATACTTTAGTTTTCCCCTCTCCCCAGGTAAAGAGTCTGGGTGTCATCCTAGACAGCACATTATCCTTCCAATCTCATATCAATAGCATCACACGGTCAGCTTATTTCCATCTTCGTAACATTAATCGTCTTCGCCCCTCCCTTGACGTCCACTCTACTTCTATTCTTGTCCATAGTCTGGCTAAATCACGTATCGATTATTGCAACTCTCTTCTCTCAGACCTCCCTCAGAAAACCCTCCGTAAGCTCCAGTTGGTTCAGAATGCAGCAGCACGCATCATTACTAAAACTCCCATCTCTCATCACATCACCCCCATCCTTAAACAACTCCATTGGCTACCACTGCATACCAGGATTAACTTCAAGATTCTCCTTCTCACCTTCAAGGCCTTCCACAACCTCGCCCCTCACTACCTCACAGATCTCGTTCACATCGTCACCTCGTCCCGTTCCCTCAGGTCCTCCTCCTCCATTCATCTCTCTGTGCCCTCCTTTCATCTCAGCACCATGGGGAGTAGAGCCTTCAGCTGCACCGCTCCCAAACTCTGGAACTCCCTTCCCCCTCTCATCAAGAACATTAACTCATTCACAGAATTCAAAAAACAACTCAAAACTCACCTCTTCATGACCCCATATCAGCTTTGAATTTTAGAGTGCCTTGTTTGTTGATGTATGTTTACTTACTGAATGATTTGTGTTTTCATTCTGTACAGTGTCCTTAAGTGACCAGAAGGGCGCTTTAAAAAAAAGTATTATTATTATTATTTCAAACCACTGAAAACATTACTCTCCACCCTCTTTGATTCACATTAAAAATACACGTCTTAGAGTACAGTTTTAAAGTACATTCTAACCTACATCAGAGACTGGAATCGTTGAGCAGTTTTTACCTGAACACAAACTAAACCTGTTCCACAGTGATGACAAAAAGGTTAAATGTAGATGATAATTTATTGAGTATATAAACTTATAATTAGCCAATAGTAGGTTTGAAGTATTCTTTCAAAGCTTTTGTGTTTGAGAAAATTAGATCTCTACGCTGTCGTGTTCCATTATTTCATCAAACACAGAGAAACAAGAACTAACTTTATTTTTACTTTTAATTTTAAACACACGACTCCCTCTGTGGTGTGTCAGATGTGCAGCAGAGAGACAGAACTGACGCAGTCAGGTCGGAAACCTGCTGTGACACTAAACAGCTGCTTCGGTCTGCTACCTTCACTCTGCTCAAGGGGGATTAACACCTTTTTTCCCCTCTTGCTCTAAAATACACTTCACTCATCCATCTTTCATCCTGTCTGCCATTGTTTCTCTCATCTGTCTTGGGTCTTTACGTAACAGCTGCGCTGAATCCGTTCAGTTGGATGAGAGCAGCCAACCAGTTCCAGGCCTAAAATTAACTTCAGGACTTCGTCAACTATTTCAGTCTTGTGGTTTTCAAAAATACGTCATGAGAAGTAGAAAGAAAGGATCCAACATTATTAAATGTGTTTTATTAAGATTATTAAAATGTGTTGATTTAACTTGGACCTAGCGAATATACAGAATGTTTCATACAACCACTTTTATTTCACCTAATTAAAAGCATTTTTCCAAATTAGAGAAGGATACTTTTTTATAAGTACATAAGATTTTATTACATTCACAAAGTAATGTGGAATTACAACAAGTTACATGGAAAATTCCTCATTTCACTGTGAAGGAAGTTACTATAGTATGTGGAGTGAGAATGTTGCTCAGTTTGAATGGAGAAGTGTGTGTGTGTGTGTGTGTGTGTGTGTGTGTGTGTGTGTGTGTGTGTGTGTGTGTGTGTCTGTGTGTGTGTGTGTGTGCGTGCGTGCGTGCGTGTGTGTGTGTGTGTGTGTGTGTGTGTGTGTGTGTGTGTCTGTGTGTGTGTGTGTGTGCGTGCGTGCATGTGTGTGTGTGTGTTTTTGTGTGTGTGTGTGTGTCTGTGTGTGTGTGCGTGCGTGCGTGCGTGCGTGTGTGTGTGTGTGTGTGTGTGTGTGTGTGTGTGTGTGTGTGTGTGTGTGTGTGTGTTTGTGAGATATTGATTTCAATGACATAAAGTAGTTAGTAAATGTGATTCCTCTCAGTCCTGAATCAGACTTGCATCTCGTGCTCATCACATTCAGGATCTGGTTCCTCTTTGAAATTCTAATCAAATTAAAATTAAAGGTGAGGCAGAACTCAGCTACAAGCATGAAAAAAAATAATGGAAACATCCCAATTTGTCGTAAAATAAATCAATGTGTGACCGTTAAGATAGATTATTTTTCACCCATTTGTTCATGCATGGTGGGAAAGAAAGGCAGCACTTTCCGGTCACACCATTTAATATTGCATTTATTTATTAAGTATTGATAAAAAATAGGGAGCAGGAAATGCACATCCTGCCAGAGAGGAAGAGTAGTAGCACATTGTTAAGAGCGCCGCAGCTCCGTCTGCTGAAGGTGAAGGTCTGCTTCTATTGTGCTGCCTGTTTATGAAAGCATCAACTGTGTGTATAGCTCCAGTAAACATCCAAAGGTAAATGTTAAACCAGTTTTTTATTATTTCTTTGTAAACGCCTCACATATCAAATATCCATCCTGTTTATTTTTCATCACTATTTATTTGTTTTATATACCGTGCTCCACAGCTCGTTGGGATTTCAGAGCAACAGCTGTAATCTGGAAGCAACAAAGCCTGGACCTGCTATACAAACACAGCTCCTGAACTATAACCGGAACGCCTGGCTTTTATTGAGGCTTCTGGGAACCTGATGTTCAAACAGACACAGCTCCGAAGCAGACCTGTGATCCTCTGTGTTCGGCCCGTCTTCCTGCTTCACACGGACCCCTGCTTGATCAGACAAAGCCACTCGGAGAAGCTCGTACGCTCTTGGCTAGCAAAGCAAGTACGCCAGGGGTCTCCAACTCGGGCCCTCAAGGGAAACAATCCATAATGATTTTGTTTTTCCCCCTGCTAAAACACACCTGATTGTAATAAGCAGGTGATTAGCAGGCTACAGGTGATTTAACCATTGACTCAAATGTGTTGGAGCAGGGAAACAACTAAAACATGCTGGACTGTGGCCCTTGAGGACTGCAGTTCAAGATCACTGATGTAGATTGATGAGCCATGATTCATTCAGACTGCAAAACAACTCTGACTTCCTGTTGCCAAATTAAAATGCTCAGGCCGATATTTTCAGGGCAGAGTGTTGAGTTTCAAACAAGCGAGAGAAAGTAAAATGTTTGCTCAGATGTAATCAGCTGAAAGAGGTAATCCAGATTCAGAACTCAGTAAGATGTTTTAGAAAAGCTGCTGGTAAGGACATCAATAATCTGAAAAGTTGTAATCATGCTGGTGATAATGCAGTAGATAACAAGGTGTTTCAACTATGGAGCTTTTTAAAGGAGACCACTGAGTCCACTGATCTCAGGCTCAGGGGGAGAGAGTTTCAGAGTCTGGGGGCCACAGCAGCAAATGATCTCTGGTCTTTAGCCTGGTGCTGCACAACCAGTAGGCTTTGGTCACTGGACCTCAGGGACCTGCCGGGGGTGTAGGGACTAAGAAGATCACCAATGTATGATGGTGCTTGCTCCCCCCAATCCAAGCCATTAAAGCTGAGTGTCAAGCAGGGAGGCATTGGGTCCCTGTTTTTTAAAGTCTTTGGTATGACCCAACCGGGATTTGAACTCCGATCTCCCAGTCCCGGGGCGGACACTCAACCACCAGGCCACAGCTGGTTTGGTGTGAGATGCAAGCTGACGAAGAGTCTCTG